CACTGGCTTCAAGGAACCTCCCTTGAGGGGTTTGTTATGCAAAACATTTTGGGAAGATTGCAAATTGTAGATGAATGGTTCAGAGAACCGACACGTTGATAAATTAGACACATGTGCAACTCTTGGGTATCTTTATTGAGGAAACGTTTCGCCACACAGTGGCTTCATCAGTCCATACAAAGGAGAAACGTGAAGAACAGGAGGAGAATGAGGTAATCAGTCCCTCAACCTTGAGTCGATGTGGTCAGTCCATCAATCTTGAATAGAATACAGCCTGTGGTATATAAGCAACTTCTCTCATATGCTGTATTCTATTCAAGATTGATGGACTGACTACATCGACTCAAGGTTGAGGGACTGATTACCTCATTCTCCTGTTCTTCACGTTTCTCCTTTGTATGGACTGATGAAGCCACTGTGTCGCGAAACGTTTCCTCAGTAAAGATACCCAACAGTTGCACATGTGTCTAATTTATCAAGATAAAAAATATTTACAGTAGTACTTACAAACTACTCAATACTAATACTAACAAGCAAATTTTCTGTACGTTATAATGTGGTTTAAGATTATAATGGGTGGTTTAGCAATAGTTGTATGGTATACATTAACTTGTTTTCACAGACCACATTACCCCATGTAAAATTATTTGTATCTCTAAGTTTTCTAATCCTGCTCTATTTATTTTAAGTTGTGTAGTACAACATTTAAATTAATGTCACTGTTATTACCAGTACAACTTTAATACAAGTAATCATAACTTAAGCTTTATATTGTTATCAGCTCTAGCTCTGCAGAAAATTATGCACTATATTGAATGGTATAAACCTTGGCAATAAATACTGACAAGTTGGTTTAGAAAGACACGTAAGCAAACACTATAACGTATTTATTAGAAAACGTTTCGGTCCTGGGACCTTGATCACTTCTAACATACAGAGGTAGAAAGACCTTATATATATAGGCGGAGAGTGAGATGCGACGCACGTGACCTGAGGAATGTCATAAGAACATAAGAAAGGAGGAACACTGTAGAAGGCCTACTGGCCCATGCGAGGCAGGTCCTTATCAAAACATCCTCTACCTATGATGAGGACGGGTAGATGATGAAATCATGTGACTCCTGTGTTGTTGGGTTGGTGCTGCTTAAGTATCATGTATGCCAATGTTTTTGAAATTTTGTAGTTTCCAGTGTTGCGTTCTATATGCCCGAAATGCCTAGCCATGCTAAGCGTTCTAGTGGTACACTCTGTAACCACAATTTTACTACATGTAAACCAAACAATAACCAAATTTCTGTAAACTCAGCATTGTAATCCTTATAGAGAATAAACTTTGAATTGAATTGAAATAGTGTCGGTGACGGCGATTAGTGAGGCTTCTAGGCACCGTCGGCGTCTGAGGTCTGGTTCGGTGAGAACGAGTTGTGCCTCGTTCCAGTTCATCAAATGCCCCGTGGAGTCTCTGTGGAGGACACAGGCATACCTTACATCGTCTCTGTTAGAGGCATTTCGATGCTCATTCAGGCGGACTGCAAGATCTCTGCCTGTCTCGCGTACATATTTCTTGGGACAGAACCCACAGGGGATAGTGTAGACGCCTGCTGTAGAAGTTAGAGGTGTGGGGCTGCGTTTCGTAGTGAGGTCTTTGATAGATGATGTGTTTATGGTAATTTCAACTTCAAGTATCAGGACAACTGTTACAAACAATGCTTTGGGATGGCAATGGGTAGCCCGCTCAGTGCTGTGCTTGCCAACCTCTGTGTGTGTGTGTGTGTGTGTGTGTGTGTGTTAGTTACCATTTGGTCCTAGGCGCATGTCGATTAGACACTAGGCCTGTTGTATGTGCATGCGTGTGTATGTGTTAGTTACCATTCTGTCCTAGGCACATGTCGATTAGACACTTGGCCTGTTGTATATAAGTGTGTGCGTGCATGCGTAAGTGTGCGTGCGTGTGTATGTGTTGTGTGTGTGTGTGTGTAAATGTGTGTGTAAATGTGTGTGTAAATGTGTGTGTAAATGTGTGTAAATGTGTATATGTAAATGTGTATATGTCAATGTGTGTGTAAATGTGTGTTGTGTTGTGTGTGTGTGTTGTGTGTGTGTGTTGTGTGTGTGTGTTGTGTGTGTTTTGTTGGTGTGTGTGTTGTTGTGTGTGTGTGTTGTGTGTGTGTGTTGTGTGTGTGTTGTGTGTGTGTGTGTACTCACCTATTTGTACTCACCTATTTGTGGTTGCAGGGGTCGAGTCCTAGCTCCTGGCCCCGCCTCTTCACCGGTTGCTACTAGACCCTCTCTCTCCCCGCTCCATGAGCTTTATCAAACCTCGTCTTAAAACTGTGTATGGTTCCTGCCTCCACTACGTCATTTTCTAGGCTATTCCACTGCCTTACAACTCTATGACTGAAGAAATACTTCCTACTATCTCTCTGACTCATTTGTGTCTTCAACTTCCAATTGGGGGCCTCTTGTTTCTGTGTCCCCTCCCTGGAACATCCTGTCCTTGTCCACCTTGTCTATTCCACGCAGTATTTTATATGTCGTTATCATGTCTCCCCTGACCCTCCTGTCCTCCAGTGTCGTCAGGCCGATTTCCCTTAATCTTTCTTCATAGGACATTCCCCTTAGCTCTGGAACTAACCTTGTTGCAAACCTTTGTACTTTCTCTAGTTTCTTGACGTGCTTTATCAAGTGCGGGTTCCAAACAGGTGCTGCATACTCCAGTATGGGCCTGACATACACGGTGTACAGTGTCTTGAATGATTCCTTACTAAGGTGTCAGAATGCTGTTCTCAGGTTTGCCAGGCGCCCATATGCTGCAGCAGTTATCTGATTGATGTGTGCTTCCGGAGACATGCTCGGTGTTATACTCACCCCCAAAATCTTTCTCCTTGAGTGAGGTTTGCAGTCTTTGGCCACCTAGCCTATACTCTGTCTGTGGTCTTCTGTGCCCTTCCCCTATCTTCATGACTTTGCATTTGGCAGGATTAAATTCGAGAAGCCATTTGCTGGACCAGGTGTCCAGTCTGTCCAGGTCTCTTTGAAGTCCTGCCTGGTCCTCATCAGATTTAATTCTCCTCATTAACTTCATGTGTGTGTGTGTGTGTTGTGTGTGTGTGTTGTGTGTGTGTGTTGTGTGTGTGTGTTGTGTGTGTGTGTTGTGTGTGTGTGTTGTGTGTGTTGTGTGTGTGTTGTGTGTGTGTTGTGTGTTTTGTTGTGTGTGTGTGTGTTGTGTGTGTGTGTGTTGCGTGTGTGTGTGTTGCGTGTGTGTGTGTTGTGTGTGTGTGTGTGTGTGTGTGTGTGTGTGTGTGTGTGTGTGTGTGTGTGTGTGTGTTGTGTGTGTGTGTGTGTGTTAGTTACCCTTTGGTCCTAGGCGCATGTCGATTAGACACTAAGCCTGTTGTATGTGCATGCGTGTGTATGTGTGTGTACTCACCTATTTGTGGTTGCAGGGGTCGAGTCTTAGCTCCTGTGTGTGTGTGTACTCACCTAGTTGTACTCACCTAGTTGAGGTTGCGGGGGTCGAGTCCGAGCTCCTGGCCCCGCCTCTTCACTGATCGCTACTAGGTCACTCTCCCTGAGCCGTGAGCTTTATCATACCTCTGCTTAAAGCTATGTATGGATCCTGCCTCCACTACATCGCTTCCCAAACTATTCCACTTACTGACTACTCTGTGGCTGAAAAAATACTTCCTAACATCCCTGTGATTTTATCTGTGTCTTCAGCTTCCAACTGTGTCCCCTTGTTACTGTGTCCAATCTCTGGAACATCCTGTCTTTGTCCACCTTGTCAATTCCTCTCAGTATTTTGTATGTCGTTATCATGTCCCCCCTATCTCTCCTGTCCTCCAGTGTCGTCAGGTTGATTTCCCTTAACCTCTCCTCGTAGGACATACCCCTTAGCTCTGGGACTAGTCTTGTTGGGAAACCTTTGCACTTTCTCTAGTTTCTTTACGTGCTTGGCTAGGTGTGGGTTCCAAACTGGTGCCGCATACTCCAATATGGGCCTAACGTATACGGTGTACAGGGTCCTGAACGATTCCTTATTAAGATGTCGGAATGCTGTTCTGAGGTTTGCTAGGCGCCCATATGCTGCAGCAGTTATTTGGTTGATGTGCGCTTCAGGAGATGTGCCTGGTGTTATACTCGCCCCAAGATCTTTTTCCTTGAGTGAGGTTTGTAGTCTCTGACCCCCTAGACTGTACTCCGTCTGCGGCCTTCTTTGCCCTTCCCCAATCTTCATGACTTTGCACTTGGTGGGATTGAACTCCAGGAGCCAATTGCTGGACCAGGTCCAGTGTGTGTGTGTGTGTGTGTGTATGCTTGTACATGCATGTGTAGTGTGACCTAAGTGTAAGTAGCAAGACGTACCTGAAACCTTGCATATTGGAGACAGAAAAGACACCAGCAATCTTACCATCATGTAAAACAATTGCAGGTTTCCTTTTCACACTCACTTGGTAGGATGGTAATACCTTCCTTGGCTGTTGCTGTCTACCAACCTACTACCTAGGTTATTATTATTATTTCAAAGTGGCTGTATCTCACTGAGGCAGGGTGTCCCAAAAGGAAAAAATGAAAGTTTCTCCATTTAAATTTAGTAATGTATACAGGAGAAGGGGTTACTAGCCCCTTCTGGTATTTTAGTCGCCTCTTATGACACGCACAGAGGAAGAATTCTGTTGCACTTCCACATGGAGATGAGCAGAAATAAACAAGACCAAGAACTAGTAAGAAAATAGAAGAAAACCCAGAGAGGTATGTATATATATGCTTGTACATGCATGTGTAGTGTGACCTAAGTATAAATAGAAGTAGCAAGACGTACCTGAAATTTTGCATGCTCGTGAGACAAAAAAAAGACACCAGCAATCCTACCGTCATGTAAAACAGTTACAGGCTTCCGTTTCACACATGGCAGGACAGTAGTACGTCCCCGGGGCGGTTTATTAATATATGAAAATAATGTATTATGGCAGGCTTTATATTTTTACCCTTTCTTTTAGGTGAACTACTACTACTTGTGGAATATTGCAAATATGGGAACATTCTTGACTACATGCGCCACCATCGTAAAGAGTTTGTGAACCAGGTTAATGATGAGGATAAGATAGATCCATCTCTTACTGAATATCGGATGAGGCAACGCAGTGGCTCAGGATCAAGGTACTGTACTTTAGAGTATTGTATATTACAGTATTATTATGGGCTTCAGTACTATAATATCCTTTCCTTAATGACATTTGCAGTTAAGCAGGTCTAAAGGGGCAAGCTCTCAGGTCTTTTCGTGATATGACATGTTTTACTTTAAACTTCATACACTAGTCCATGTTAGTATCAAGGATTAATGTTACAGAAATTATATTTATCTAGAACCATTGTACATCAGATTCATGGCTATTTGTAATGTATTTAGCAGTAACCAGTTGAAGGGATGGAGAACATACTAATGGTTTCAAATATGAGATATACCAACATTGGTTAACTAACAAAAATGTTTATACATACAACATAAACCATGAGGTACAGCATTACATCCTCAATATACTTTTCATCCATTATATATTCTGACATGCTCCAATAACTGAACACACTTTGAAACAACTGTGCCTAAAGAGTTGCTTCAATCATATGAGACTACATAAAATATAGTGTAATGACACACCAAAAAACACATTTTCATTTCCATGAAATGAAGATGTATGTATTAACCTATTTGACAAAATTATAACTCTGAATTATTATGTTTTCAATGATAAATTGTTAAATTCATGCACACACCACACACTACAAGGTGTATATGCTAGATTCTAGCTACACAGGGTACGGAAGATTGCCAAATAGGAGATGAGCTAATAGACTAGCCTCTTTCTTTCTCTCATTCTGCCCCTAAGCCAGGGTTATCTACAGAATGAACAGTCTTCCCCAATTCCCTGGCCAGTAAACCATCCAAGAGAAAAATTTATAATAGATGAGCAGTGCCATTTAGTTCTAGCCAAGATAGAACCAGGAGATATCCTTTGCAAAACAAATATTATGCTGTGCCTATGACAGACACATGAAACTTGGCCTATCAGGGTGCTTTTAGGCAAGAATTAACTCGCTTTATTCTTCTTTACTTATTTTCTGATATAAAATATCTGTATAATTTACATTTATTGGACTTAGGTTAATCTGGACCACCATACAACAATTGGAATGAATTAATCATGCTGTACTGTCACACACTGCCAAAAATTAGAAGCTAGGACTATAATTCAAGTAATACATTATCTTTTTTTTTTTTTATTAACACACTGGCCGATTCCCACCAAGGCAGGGTGGCCCGAAAAAGAAAAACTTTCACCATCATTCACCCCATCACTGTCTTGCCAGAAGGGTGCTTTACACTACAGTTTTTAAACTGCAGCATTAACACCCCTCCTTCAGAGTGCAGACACTGTACTTCCCATCTCCAGGACTCAAGTCCGGCCTGCCGGTTTCCCTGAATCCCTTCATAAATGTTACTTTCCTCACACTCCAACAGCACGTCAAGTATTAAAAACCATTTGTCTCCATTCACTCCTATCAAACACGCTCACGCATGCCTGCTGGAAGTCCAAGCCCCTTGCACACAAAACCTCCTTTAGCCCCTCCCTCCAACCTTTCCTAGGCTGACCCCTACCCCGCCTTCCTTCCACTACAGACTGATACACTCTTGAAGTCATTCTGTTTCGCTCCATTCTCTCTACATGTCCGAACCACCTCAACAACCCTTCCTCAGCCCTCTGGACAACAGTTTTGGTAATTCCACACCTCCCCCTAACTTCCAAACTACGAATTCTCTGCATTATATTCACACCACACATTGCCCTCAGACATGACATCTCCACTGCCTCCAGCCTTCTCCTCGCTGCAACATTCATCACCCATGCTTCACACCCATATAAGAGTGTTGGTAAAACTATACTCTCATACATTCCCCTCTTTGCCTCCAAGGACAAAGTTCTTTGTCTCCACAGACTCCTAAGTGCACCGCTCACCCTTTTCCCCTCATCAATTCTATGATTCACTTCATTTTTCATAGACCCATCTGCTGACACGTCCACTCCCAAATATCTGAATACATTCACCTCCTCCATACTCTCTCCCTCCAATCCAATTAAGTAATACATAAGTTCTTTTTATGCTTTACATAATAAGGGTCTTTTTTTCTGAGTATGCATTTACAGTGGAACCTCGGTTTTCGTGAGTAATTCGTTCTAAAAAGTCTGATGAAAACTGAATTGTACGAAAACTGAAGCAATATTTTCCATAAGAAATATTGAAAATCCAATTAATCCATCCCAGATGCCCAAAAATATTAATAAAAAATACATTTTGTAGAGAATAACTATGGTTTTGCATACAGAAAACAATGAGAAATAAATATAAATGACTTATGAAATGGATAAATGAACATGTAACATCACTTTTACCTTTCTTGAAGACTCTTGTTGGTGTATGGAAGACGGCAAAGAGGAGAGAGGGAGGAGGAAAGGTTATTGTTCGGAAGGGAAATCCCCTTCCGTAAGGGCTTCAGGTATCGAGGCCCTATCCAGGGTTACTTTCCTTCTTTGTCTTTTACTGGCACTAGGACCAGCTTGAGAGTCACTGTACCCCTATGCACAAAAAATCTGTCCAGAGAGGTCTGTTTCTGGCATCTCTTTTAAGATTTGCCTAAAATGGGACAAGGCATTGTCATTGAACATGTTGTAGACACAGCTTGCAACAGTTTTGTTAAGGTGATAATTCTCCACAAAACTTTGCACCTCATTCCACTTTGCACACATGTCTTTAATCACTGAAGAAGGCACAGTCTCCCCTCTCTCTTCCTTCTCCTCAGAAGCAATTTCCTCAGCTGCGGTCTGTTGCTGTTCCAGTTGAAGGTCTTGCAGCTCTTCATTGGTTAGCTCTTCACTGTGGTCATCCACCAACTCTTCCACATCCTGGCCACTCACATCCAACCCCATGGACTTCCCCAAAGACACAATAGATTCCACAAGAGGCATAGGGTCGTTGGGGTCAGCCACAAACCCTTCAAAATCCTTCTTGAGGACACATTCTGGCCATAATTTTCTCCAAGCAGAGTTCATCATCCTTGAAGTCACTCTCTACCAAGCCTTATCCATAAGGCTTATGCAATTGAGGATGTTGAAGTGATTCCTCCAGAGCTCTTAAGGTCAGTTCAGTGTCTGAGGTCACTTCAAAGCACCATTGAAACAGTGCTTTGATGTAAAGTTTTTTGAAGTTTGAAATGACCTGCTGGTCCATGGTCTGGATGAGAGGAGTGGTATTAGGGGGCAAGAACTTCACTGTGATGAAACTAAACTCCTCCAACAATTGGTCTTCCAAGTCTGGAGGATGATCAGGAGCATTGTCCATTACCAGGAGGCACTTGAGTGGCAATTTATTTTCCAGGAGGTATTTCTTCACACTCTGGCCAAACACTTCATTGACCCACTCAATGAAAATTTGCCTCGTGACCCATGCCTTATTGTTAACCTTCCACATCACACACAATTTACTCTTGATGATATTGTTTTTCTTGAACACTCAAGGATTTTCAGAGTGATACATGAGTAAAGGCTTCACTTTGAAATCTCCACTAGCATTATCACAGAACAAAATAATTAGCCTATCCTTCATAGGTTTGTGTCCTGGCAGTGCCTTTTCCTCCTGCGTGATGTAGGTCCTCTTTGGCATTGAAAACTTCAGCCTCTACGTACTCCTTGAATTCATCAACGAAATCTTCGGCCCAACATTTTCCCGAACTTGCAGCATTGCCGTGCCTTGCCACACTGTGTATGCCAATTCGCTTCTCGAATTTGTCAAACCAGCCTCTGCTGGCCTTAAATTCACTAACAGTAGCACTCGTTCCAGGCATTTTCTTTGCAAGATCCGCATGCAACTGCCTTGCCTTTTCAGAAATTATTGTCTCCAAGACACTATCTCCCGCTAACTGTTTTTTGTTGATCCACACCAACAACTTCTCAACATCTTCGATTGTTTGCAATCTCTGTTTCGTTAGCACATCTACTCCATTCGTAATGCCAGCTTCCTTGATTTCTTTTTTCTTTGCCAGGATGGAACTGATTGTTGACGCAGACTTTTTGTACATCCTAATGAGATCAGCCATGCATACGCCACTTTTGTACTTTGCTACGAGTTCTTTCTTGAATTCTATTGTGTTTCTCGCCTTTATCAAAGGGGCTGGCACTCGGAACTTTTTTTGGCCCCATGGTAGCTTATTTAGCAGTCATGCCCCATAAACAAGTACAAAAAACAATGGATTATTACGAAATGTTTCGGATGAATGTGCGGGGTGATGCTCACTCAATGAGAAACAAAGGCAGACTGAGTCACGAACGCATGGGATGCTTTGTGTGGGCGCTTGAGTGGCTGAGTCATGCGGACATGTTTGGTACAAGCGGATGTACAAAAACTGGGACAGAATTTCAACGAAAAAAAGCCGTCGATAACCAAATCCTATGAAAACTGGGGCATACGAAAACCAAGGTTTCACTCTAGTATATCATTAACCATTTAGAATCCTTCAACTCTGAATTGGGGGCATTTTTAGGCCTACTTTGTGCCTTTGTTGAGCCTAATGAATGCACAGGAAATTAAGATTACTGTGTACCACTAGAGCAGCTCTTTGTCATCCATAAGTAACAAATCAGATAGCCCTAACTCTCTCCCAAGCAGAGTGATTGGGAGTCTCCCAATCATTCATAATCACTTGTAAGTACAAATATTGACCTTGGACTTTCCTTCAAAAATTCATAAAAAAATATCAAATACAGGAGGACCTTGTTTGTACACCTCTTAGGTTCCTGACCCAGCATGAGAAACGAAAATTTCTAAAGGGTGGAAACAGCATTTTTTTTTTTTAATCAGATGCATCTATAATGCCTGATAACATGTTTACACCATCATATATTAAATGTTCAATACTGCTAGGCATAAAAAAAAACAGATAAAAAAGTAAAGTAAATACACAGGACATAAAATACTTACCTTTAAAATATAGCACTGCTCACCCTTCTTTGACAAAACTACATATTGTGTGGAAAAGCGGTAAAAGCACCAAACATAATGAACAATGGCTCAGTTGAAAACCAACGTAAACGTGGAACACCAAAAAGAGGGTGCTGAGTACGCAGTGCCATCATGTATGTGGCAGAAGTCATAGGGGTAAGAAGGTCTTATAATAGGGCATTCTATAACATGCTAGAAGACATTCAAATCCCTTTAATATTTTAATGACTGAACACTAAAGGGTTAATTGTATCAGAACTGTAACCAAGTAAACTGTAAACCCAACCATTGTAACTAATACAGGAGGGCCCCACTTAAACAACAAATTAGGTTCTGGGCTACTGCTGTAAAGCAAAAATCTCTGTAAAATGAAACATAGCTTTTTTCACTTTCAAATGCATATTAAAGCCTGATAACATGTTTACACTATCATATATTAAGTGAGCAGTATAGCTAGGGCTAAAAAATGTATATACAGTACATCCATTACCCATCTTAAAATATTTTTGTACTTAGCTTTTAGTGAGTGGCGAATATATTTTGTAGGAAGCCTAAATAAGTGAAGAATGGGTATAATTAAAAACTGCTCTATTAGCAAAATGCTGTAAAGTGAAGCACTGTAAATTGGGGCCCTCCTGTATGTATGTTTTTAAGAAATAAAGATTTTTATATTTATTTGATTTGATTATTATGGTATCCATTTGTTCCTTATTCATCCTTCTCATGCCTTCACAATGTCAGTACTATTTTTCATTTTAATATGTTTTGGATTCCCAACTGGCACAAGAAGTTCAACATAGATTATTCCAGTAAATTAACCCTTAAACGGTCCAAACAGATCGACGTTCAAATTCGTAGTGGCTTACTCCGTAAGCCATGCGTGTCGTATGAGGCGACTAAAATGCCGGGAGCAATGGGCTAGTAACCCCTTCTCCTGTATACATTTACTAAAAAAGAGAAGAAGAAAAACTTTATAAAACTGAATGATGGTGAAAGTTTTTCTTTTTCGGGCCACCCTGCCTTGGTGGGAATCGGCCAGTGTGATAATAAAAAAAAAAAATAATTTTCAAATATAACAAAAAAAAATGTAGATAAAAGTTTTTTTTACACGTTTTCACATGTAAAACAAAAAAAAAAGATTTACATTTTTTTACATGCTTTCAGATGTTGAAAAAACGTATATATACGTTTGGACCATTTAAGGGTTAAATTCACATTACTAATGTAATCTGTAGCATAACAAACAAATTGTGTTTCTAAAGGGTTTCTTTCAGCATTATCCATCTTAAACACCTCCTAACATGTAGTATTATACGTAAGTTGTCTTAATGCCACACTGCAAATTTTAAGCATAGTTATTGTATAATATTTTTGTCACTTCACAGGTGTAGGACCTCTCGTGGGCTCAAGTATGCCCATCTAGCCTTCAACCAAGATAATGTGCTCTACACTAATGGACAAACATCTGATTCAAATCACTCAGGGCAGGCTCTGTGGGGGCGTCCAGTATCACCACCACACACTCCTGGCATAAACAGTGAATCAGTGGGAACATTCCGCACCAGAACCATTTCTAATTCCTCTAATCAACACATTACCTCTGACATGAGCATCCTTACCTATGGTTAGTCTTAAAAATTTTTTAAAACACACTGGCTGTGTCCATCTGAGGCAGGGTGACCCAAAAAAAAAGAAGAAATTAAAGTTTTTCTTCTTTTTACATTTAGTAATTTATACAGAAGGGATTACTAGTCTCTTAGTCTTAAATATGTGATTTTTTTTTGGCCATTCATTTGTATTTACCAGTCAGCCATCATCATTAGGAATTAGGATAGCATTTTTTCAAAATCATTATGTAAATGATGCATCAAGATGAAAGTCACCTTCTACAAAAAATACATAAAATATGCAGTACCATATGTACTGCAATTGCAAAATTGCATGTTGTAATATATATAAGGGAAAGGTGTTAAGAAATTGAGACTGACAGGCATATAGACTACAGCTAAATGTAGATATTTCATAATCTTTAAAAAAAAAAGTGGTGACATGAGAAACCTGGTTTGCCTGAAAGATATCATGAATTTTGAAAGTATGTTTCACAAACTTTGGAAATAATATTACTTGATGTATTTGATTAAATTAAAGGTGTGGTACCAAAGTATATTGACTGAGTGCTCTTATATCTCTATTTCCATTATCATTTGAGGTTGATTCTTGAATTTTTTATATATACGTACATGTGGTGGATATATCAAACCCATTCACCGTTGCTCATACATTTAAATGTTAGTGGTGTCCAATTGGAGCCTATGGTGTATGTATGAAAAATATTATATTTGTACAAGGACATTATATATTGAATACACATGGCCCACTGTCAACAATAGTGAAAAAAAAAAGGACAGGTTGCAGAACAGCTGAAATTGGGGCTGTTTTTCTGTGTAAAACAAAACACTAACTTTAAGAATTACCATATTCTAGAGTGTGTATCTTTTCTTTGTAGAAATATAATTATCTTAAACAAATTTTGCATAAAGTTTCTTTAATTATCTATTTAATTATTTTTCTGATAATTTTCTAAGAGATAGTGCCTGTTTTATCCCTAGTAGATGGAGAGAGAGCATAGTAAATGAATAGGTAAGTTGTATGTTTTGAACATGTATATATAATGCATTAAGTAAAACAAACTTCTGTTCATCATGTCAGGCTGCTATATCTAACATAACTAAAGTAGAACTCTGTGACAATGCTTTTTGTTAAACTGACAAATCTAACATTGCTAAAAACTGTGGAAATACCTGTGTATAAACAATGTGCTTATCTGCTGTAATAACACTTGAAAGATGTCGCTTTTTTTTGGCACATTTGACATTTCTAACTTCAGACACTAAAAAATTGGATGCCATCACTCTATGAAAGTTAACAAGTTAATGGGTTAAATGGAATTTGGAAGCAGTTGACAATGACAATGAATTATCATTATATGAATGGGGAAGTGCTAAACCCATGATGGTCAGATAAAGCATGAGGAATGAGAGGTAATCAGGTTTGATCCAAGGAAGGAGAGGGCAATTCTGATTCCTTGGAGCAAGACCCGTTTCATCAGCATCAACAAACCCCCTCTGGAATTGACAAAATAATGAAACCCACCAAATTGTGGCATCCATTCTTCGACGGATGTCATTTTGTAATTCTTTAATAATTGAGAATAGTACACACTGTTATGTTATCTTATGGTCACAGAAAGGAATCCACATCCATTATGTGAATATTGAAAGTAAATAAGATTTGCAAACATCTAGTGGCATGCCAAATATATAGAAGTCATGGGTTTTAATATAATGTCATTGGAAGAATAAAAAAGTGAATTTTTAGATGTTAGTGTGTCTTTAAAGGAGACAAACTTACATAAGTTGCAACTTACTTAATGTAGACCAGTAAGTAGTGTTATTTTAGGTTTTAGTGGTTATCAGATCATTAAAAACTAGAAAATTCTTTTCTTTGTGTAGATAGTAGTGGCGGTGCTTCTGATGGTTATCTCAGCTCTCGTTCAGTCGGCGCCCACCCAGCTGCCTTATGTACCAAAGATCTCCTTTGCTGGGCTTTCCAGATTGCTAAGGGCATGGAGTATCTTTCATTTAAAAAGGTAACAAGAATTTTCTTCAGAATATTTGTTAATTATATTCACACAGGCTTTTTTATTTACATTAATGATAATTCAATTGCACAAAATTTTATTTGTCTCATTGTTCATATTTGTTTTCATAAAATATTTCGAGTTTTCTTGCCTGTGCAAATCTTGCTTTCATTTGTAATCTCTTCAAATTTGTTCTGAAATAAAGAACATTTTTTTTGCTATGACTTTGAGGTTGGATTTGTCAAGAGACCTTTGCAAAATCTGTATATACATCTGCATTTTAATTTTTTTTCCTAATGCCTCTTGTTATATTGTTATAGCTGTCTGTTATCCGAGAGGGTCAGGATCATCCTCCTCTAAGGCCATTTTGAACTGGGTTCTAAAATTAATGTATTTTCATACAATTGGGAATTTTCCTTCTTAGCACCCTCTCAGAGACTTTAATATATGGTATGTGGTGTTAGTAATTGGCATGTAGTTTGTTACTCTCTCTCTGCTGCCTGCTCTGTGAAGTGGGTTTATGTAGAGTTTTTAGCTTCAGAAATTTTACTCTACTCTCTGCAGAATACATTGGAGTACCTGTGCTAGTAGTAATACTCTGCATATTTTTAAAAATGGCTTACGTGCTAGCCTGGAGTTTTAAGACTCACTCGCCACGAGTTTAATCACTGCTTGTGGTATTTTTTTTTAAACCTGGTATTCCAAGAATCAAGCACTGTACTGTACTAACAATTTCTCTTTCAAAATCTGTAGTATTTATGTAAATATTCATTATACATATTTTAAATTAGGCTACATTAGGCCAGTTTTTTTTTTTTAACTCTGATAACATAATGTAAATTTAGCATACATTACTGTTCTATGTAGAAACTTTTTCCTGGTTCTTTTGCCTTCTCCTCTCGCCTGTTATTATTACTACACTTACATTCAGGGGAAGCACTAAATGTATAGGGGTCATCCAGTGACTGGGAAATTGGAGGCAGTCAATTTTGGTCCAAAGAAGGAGGGAAACAAGTCCTGTTCCTTATGATAATAATAACTGATTCATCATCCAAACTAGTATTGGTGTGCCTCTGATAAGATGGTGGAGTGAATGATGGATAACCCTACCACTAATTCAGCAGTGCATTTTGGGCAAACTTATTAGGTTTACACACTACATAAAAAGTTGAAGAAGCCTAAGGAACAAATGGATTTGATTGTTAAAAATAGAAGACGAAAGTTATTAAATGGAAAGTTAGAGATATCAGGAAGATGGAGGGAATATTCTGAGGAATTGTTAAATGTTGATGAAGATAGGGAAGCTATGATTTTGTGTATAGGGCAAGGAGGACTAACATCTTGTAGGAGTGAGGGGGAGCGAGTTGTGAGTGTGGGGGGAAGTTCATGAGGCAGTGGGTAGGATGAAAGGGGATAAAGCAGCTGGGATTGATGGGATAAAGATGGAAATGTTAAAAGAAGGTGGGGATAGAGTTTTGGAGTGGTTGGTGCTTTTATTTAATAAATGTATGGAAGGGGTAAGGTACCTAGGGATTGGCAGAGAGCATGCATAGTTCCTTTGTATAAAGGCAAAGAGGACAAAAGAGAATGCAAAAATTATAGGGGAATAAGTCTGTTGAGTATACCTGGTAAAGTGTATGGTACAGTTATTATTGAAAGAATTAAGAGTAGGATGGAGAGCAGGATATCAGATGAACAAGGAGGCTTTAGGAAGGGTACAGGGTGTGTAGACCAAGTGTTTGCAGTGAAACATATACATAGGTGAACAGTATTTAGATAAGGGTAAAGAGGTTTTTGTGGCATTTATGGATTTGGAAAAGGCATATGACAGGGTGGATAGGGAAGCAGTGTGGCAGATGTTACAAATGTATGGAATAGGAGGTTGGCTATTGAAAGCAGTGAAAAGTTTTTACAAGGATAGTGAGGCTCAGGTTAGAGTATGTAGGAGAGAGGGAGATTATTTCCCAGTAAAAGTGGACCTTAGACAAGGATGTGTGATGTCACCATGGTTGTTTAATATATTTATAGATGGGGTTGTAAGAGAAGTGAATGCTTGAGTGTTGGCAAGAGGTTTGGAGTTAAAAGTTAAAGAATTCAGCACAAAGTGGGAGTTGTCACAGTTACTCTTTCCTGATGACATTGTGCTCTTGGGAGGTTCTGAAGAGAAGTTGCAGAGGTTGGTGGATGAGTTTGGTAGGGTACGTAAAAGAAGAAAATTGAAAGTGAATATAGGAAAGAGTAAGGTGATGAAGATAACAAAAAATTAGGTAATGAAACATTGGATATCAGGTTGGAGGGAGAGAGTATGGAGGAGGTGAATGTATTCAGATATTTAGGAGTGGACGTGTCAGCAGATGGGTCTGTGAAAGATGAGGTGAATTATGGAATTGACGAGGGAAAAAGGGTAAGTGGTGCACTGAGGAGTCTGTGGAGACAAAGAACTTTGTCCATGGAAGCAAAGAGGGGAATGTATGAGAATATAGTTATACCAGTGCTCTTATGTGGATGTGAAGCATAGGTGGTGAATGTTGCGACAGTGAAGAAGTCATGTCTGAGGGCAATGTGTAGTGTGCATATAATGCAGAGAATTCGTAGTTTGGAAATTAGGAGGAGGTGCGGGATTACCAAAACTATTATCCAAAGGCCATATGACAACAGGAAAATGCAAACTCCCTTCCTGTAAGCTTTTTCACCCTGAAATGTGTACCTCTTCAGTACAGGAAAGACTGTGCTATAACTTAAATTGCCAGGCACACCATCTAAAGGGGACAAAAAGATACAAAACATCCAGGCCATGGAAAAACCTGGGTAGCCACAGCCACCCAAGAGGGAGAGGTTTTTTAGTGCCAGGAAGGAAAAACGACTGGCAGGAAATGGCTGAAATCGTACACCAAATCCAGTCATTCCTGGAGTGGAACCACAGTCGATGGCCTCCACTCCAAACCAACAGATACAGATACTAATGCCGGAAAAAAAATCCCCCCCAGTACCAACAATACCACCAGTCCAATGACATTCTTCTTTGCAAATATACAGGGTCTAAAGCCAGCAACAAACAACAAAATACCTTTCATCCGTGGACTGCTTGCAGAGGCAAATGCAATGTTCGCGGCTTTCACTGAGACCCACATAAAGGATCACTTGGACGAAATATGGATCCCAGGTTACAACCTATACAGATGCAACAGAGTGAACAGGCAAAAAGGGGGGGGGGGTTGGCCTGTACATTGCCTCAAATGATGTAGTGGAAGTTTTAGCAGTAAAGATCGAGAACCAAAACCTAGTCATTGTGGTAGTCTACAAGCCTCCGGATGCAACATCCCAGCAATTCCAGGAACAGCTGTTAAAAATTGACCACTGACTGGAAAATCTTTAAGCTCCTGCACCCAACATCTTGCTCCTGGGGGATTTCAACTTAAGGCACCTAAAATGGAGGAATATAGCAAATAATATTGTTGCAGTAATAACACCAGGAGGCAGCGCTGATGAAAACTCACACTCACACGAGCTTTTAAATCTCTGCACAAAATTCAATTTAAACCAGCAAATAATAGAGCCTACTAGACTGGAGAATACACTTGACCTCATCTTCACTAACAATGATGATCTGATAAGAAATGTCACCATATCAAAAACAATATACTCAGATCACAACATAATTGAGGTTCAGACATGTATGCGTGGAGCCCCAGACCGACATAATGAAATTAGTCACGAGGGAGCATTCACCAAATTCAACTTCAACAACAAAAACATAAAGTGGGACCAAGTAAATCAAGTCCTAACCGATATAAGCTGGGAAGATATACTAAGCAACACAGACCCCAACTTATGCCTAGAACAGATTAACTCGGTGGCACTCGATGTATGCACAAGGCTTATTCCTCTAAAAAAGAGGAGGAGTAGATGTAAAATAGAAAGAGACAGGCGCTCCCTTTACAGGCGACGGAAAAGAATAACAGCGGCTAAAAGAGGTCAATATATCTGAAATGCATAGGGAGACACTGGTCAGAGAAATAGCAAGCATTGAACTTAAGCTAAAGGAATCGTATAGGAGTCAGGAATCGCGGGAAGAACTAAAAGGCATAAATGAAATTGAAAGAAACCCAAAGTATTTCTTCTCCTATGCCAAATCAGAGTCGAGAGCAACGTCCAGTATTGGGCCCCTACTTAAACAAGATGGGTCCTACACAGATGACAGCAAGGAAATGAGTGAGCTACTCAAGTCCCAATATGACTCAGTTTTTAGCAAGCCGCTAACCAGACTGAGAGTCGAAGATCAAAATGAATTTTTTATGAGAGAGCCACAGAATTTGGTTAACACAAGCCTATCTGATGTTATCCTGACGCCAAATGACTTCGAACAGGCGATAAATGACATGCCCATGCACTCTGCCCCAGGGCCAGACTCATGGAACTCCGTGTTCATCAAGAACTGCAAGAAGCCCCTATCACGAGCTTTTACCATCTTATGGAGAGGGAGCATGGACATGGGGGTCGTCCCACAGGTACTAAAAACAACAGACATAGCCCCACTCCACAAAGGGGGCAGTAAAGCAACAGCAAAGAACTACAGACCGATAGCACTAACATCCCATATCATAAAAATCTTTGAAAGGGTTCTAAGAAGCAAGATCACCACCCATCTAGAAACCCATAAATTACACAACCCAGGGCAACATGGGTTTAGAACAGGTCGCTCCTGTCTGTCTCAACTATTGGATCACTACAACAAGGTCCTAGATGCACTAGAAGACAAAAAGAATGCAGATGTAATATATACAGACTTTGCAAAAGCCTTCGACAAGTGTGACCATGGCATAATAGCGCACAAAATGCGTGCTAAAGGAATAACAGGAAAAGTCGGTCGATGGATCTATAATTTCCTCACTAACAGAACACAGAGAGTAGTAGTCAACAGAGTAAAGTCCGAGGCAGCTACGGTGAAAAGCTCTGTTCCACAAGGCACAGTACTCGCTCCCAACTTGTTCCTCATCCTCATATCTGAC